TCGTAGCCATCCTTGCAACCCACGCCTGCGTTTGCTTCAGCCTCGTCTGCGTCGCCATCGTCTGCATTGGCGCCACCTTCGCCTCCGCTACCCTCGCCTTCGTTGTCGTCATCTGCATCGGCGCGCCTTCGCCTCCGTTACCCCCGCCTTCGTCGTCGTCTGCATCGTCCTCGCCTCCGGGTGGGTTGAAGGAGGCCTTCGAGTGGGTTTGGAATTCCAGATCTGGTCTCTTTCTTGTCCACTGGTTCATATCTAGATTTGTAGTGATTGATGAGGCTAGTAGTTTGCACAGGCAGGCAGTTGTAAGGTTTCTTCAGATGTAGTTATTCGGACTTTCGGGTGGGTGTATGAAAGATTTGTAGTGTTTTTTTAGTTCAAATTGTTATTGATTCTCAAGATTTGTAGTGTTTTTTTTTTGGGTTTTGCATATATGATTTTCTTGTTTATTGAAGATATGTTATTCGGACTTTCGGGTGGGTGTATGAAAGATCACAGACTCCCTTTTGTTTGTTTGATCGGTGTTGCATGGATTTCGGATCTTGATTGGTAGTAATTTTTAAGGACAGTAGAGATTCGTGATGTTGTGCAGAGGTATAGTAGTGTTTTAAATTTTAGTAGTGATTTTCAGTTCTTTTTAGTAGTGTTTTAACCTTATAAGAGTGAAGTTTAGTAGCGATTTCAGTTCTGTGTAGTAATAGTTCTGTTACTAGTTATGTCTGTTTAGTAGTGATTGTCAGTTCCGAAAAAATAATGTTTGTGATTATTCTGTATCAAACCATTGTCATTTATGTTTCCCCACTAGTAGTAGCCATTTGCTCAACTTGCATAGTTCATTAGTCGCAGGTAGTAAATTCCAAAAATCAAAACTGCATATCGACAAAATCCCTAATACTACCACTATAGAGAATCACTGGAAAAAATCCCAAAGTACACTAGTTGTTAAAAAAAATTCCAAAATACATAAGTTATAAAAAAAATTTCCAAAACTACACATGTTTGGCATTCACCGTTTTTAACAAATGCAGTGAAGATTATCACCGCGATTAAAACGGTGAAGTATTCACTGTTTTTCTCTAAAACGGTGAACTACTAGCGAGTCAATCGTCGTTTTAGAGGCAAATGGTGAATACTTCACCGTTTTAATCAAACTCGGTGAATTTTAAACCGTTGTAGTGGGCCACGATGAAGCAACGCGGATCGCTGACGTGTACCAACGCGGTGTATTCACCGCGTTAGACAAACATGGTGAATACCCCGTGTTTGTTTGCGTCAGCGATCCGCGTCGCTTTTCCTTTCACCGTGGCCGTCAGATGCGGTGAGGCGCGGATCGTGGTTTTCTTCCCAGATCTGACGCCTCACAGTTGCTCCAAGTCGACAAAGACGGTGAAGCATCCCCAAATTTACTCTTCGCTAGAGCCATTCCCCCCCTTCCCCCAACTATAAATAGAACCTTCCCCCCCCCCCCCCCCCCCCCCCCACTTACAAATCACACCACAACAATTATTCTTCTTTCACCCTCAATTTATCCGCTCTAGTCTCGTTATAAGTATGCTCTGTGGTTGCGGATAAATCCGATCTTCCACATCAGAAAGAATTACTAGAGTTTGACGCTAAAGCCCCCGTCCCGCTAAGCTCCCGTCCCTTAGAAACCCGAACCCGTCGAATCTCTGTCCGGCTTCTGCCAAAAAATGGACGAAGAGGCTCTTCGTGTAGGTTTTTTTTTGTGTTTTTATTTTTAATCGTAACAATTTGATTTATTGACTTTTTTTATCAAAACAATCTTTTATTTCATTACTTTTTTATAGATGGGTTCCGAGATATACGATCCTCGATTGTATATCCATTATGGGCCAAGGCTCAAGAGATATGAGACTCTTAACCGATCAAGAAGCTCATCGTTCCCGTGCTATTTGGGATAACAATCCGGTAATTTGATGATTTATTTGCTTTATTTTATTATTTTCTAAGGTTTTATTTTGCTTTATTTAAACTAACAAATTGATGTTTTCCTATTTTTTTGAAGGAATCACTTATTCATGTCGTTCATAAAGGGACCACAAACTTGCCCCCTTGGCATCCACGGTTGGCGCCCTATATAGAGAGGACCGGGTTGGGTATGTTGCGCCATTTCATGCGGATCGAAATCGACAATGATCTGCTTACGGAAATGGCGGAGCGATGACGTCCTGTAACCCATACGTTCCACCTTCCGGAGGGGAAAATGACGATCACCCTCAAAGACGTGGCGATCCTCACCGGGCTGCCGATTTCTAGAGATGCCATCATTGGTTCCACTACCAAACCCGAAGGAGGTTGGGGGCCGCTCATTCTTGCTGAATTGGGATTTGACATGCCGACCACCACACCAATTCAAGGACGGGGGCATCCACCGTTGAATGCGGGACAAGTGTCGGTCCCGTGGCTGGTAACTCACATCCAGAATGAGGTGGAAATCAATGACGAGACTCCGGAAGATAAAGTGGAGCACTATGCACGCATCTACCTCATTGGTTTGGTGGGTGGATTTCTGTTCCCCGACAAGTCAAACCGGTGGATTCAAGGCATATGGTTGCCATTGCTCACTGGTGACTGGGACGCAATCGGGGAAAAGAGTTGGGGATCAGCCGTGTTAGCTGGCGTATACCGGGAGCTGTGCACTTGCTCGAAGGTGGGAGCAAAACAAGCTGGTGCTGTGATGTTTATCCTACAGTTGTGGGTATGGGAGCATCTTCCAATGTTCGCACCTCTAGACCCACGTCCATATTTGGTCTCGGCTTTTCGAATCACCCAGGCACCCTTTCTCTTCATATTTGCAGCCCGCAGTTGCCACGTACAACCCTCTACATCATTCTTGCATATGACATGTAATTGTTGACTGTCAGAATATTTTACCTTCCACTCGAAATTGCGCCTCAAGGCCTCTTGGGTAAAGGCATCCTGCACAGCGTCCTTCGATGAGAACGTCATACCCACCTCCAAATTGGGCGTCGGATTATACACTGGCATAGGGACAAAGTCGGGGGCATCATTCTGACCATGTAAAAATTGAGTTGGAACCTGTGTGTAGTATGGCGTGGGTGCCTCACGAAATGTCGCCTCGTCGTCGTTATCATCAGTATCTTCCTCCTCGCTCACTGATCTCAAATCTTCCTCAGTATCCTCGTCGCTTGAGTCGAATGGATAGCTGGGGCCAGAAGGATCAACATGACCACCATCACCAACATCGTCTTCTCGCTCATGTGAAGTACGCCCTGATCGAATGGTATTCTCGATTTCAGACCACTCTGGCCCCCAAGCAGGCCATTGAACACCATCGGCCTCAACAAATGGGGCTGGTTGATCCTGTTGCGAGTATTCTTCCGATGGCACCCATCCTGCACTACTACCTCCACCGTAGTTGATTGAACTACCACTCTCTGCATAACCTCCTGTATAACCACCTCCTTCATAGTTGCTCGAACTACCACCCCATCTGTACCCTCCTGCAAAACCATCATCATAAGAATACCGGTGAAAATGAGTTTCACCGACCGCCTCGGTCTCAACCTACACCTCTGCAAGCCGCATCCTGTTATCCCTTAGGAACTGTAACATCATCGTAACCGCGTCATCATCATTTATGACAACTTCTTGGTACACAACCCCGCCAGCACTCATGTCTGGATACCGGTAACTAATTTTGCCAAGTCTCGTTTGTCCGCTCGTACAAACCCTGTCTGCACAAATATCACGGAGTTCTTGAAAATTGAATCGCGACTCAATTTTCAGCATAGTGCATTCACCGTTCTCATAATCAATCCCTATGTCAGAGTTTGTCACCCTTCCATTCCACCGAATAATAAGCCGAAACTTCTTGAATTTACCCATATCTACAATTTACAATAAGTTAAACTATTAGCTTAAAGACAGTAAAATTAACCAAAACCATATTGTATGACTAATATTACTCCATCTCATAACTAATGTAAACATAAATTCAACTAACTAACAACAACATAAATTCAAAAATTAAGTACTACAATTGCTACGATAAGTAATTCATAACATAACAATATAACTACTAAAAACATCATTAGGCTATTATACGAAAATTAAATCATATTATAACTACTAAAAACCCATCATTAAGCTATAATACGAAAATTAAACCATACCGAAAATTCTTGTTCTGTGTATTATGCTCGGTTTTGGTTGCTGAAATTTGAAGAGGGGGGAGTGGTTATGTTTTTACAATTGCTGGTGGCGTGGTATTTATAAGAAAATCTGCCTACTATTCACCGTTTTTGTCAAACACGGTGAACACCATCACCGTGTTTGTCTCAAACGGTGAACATTAGGTAGTTGTTACTTAATTTTCACCTACCAGCGGTTGGAAACGTGTGAAATACTCACCGTTTTAACCTAGAACAATGAAGGTATTCACCGTGTTGCCCTAAACGGTGATATATTCACCGTTTTAGTTTAAAGCGGTGAATGTATCACCGTTTTAGAGAAAAATGGTGAATACTTCACCGTTTTTTTTTAAACAGTGAAATATTCACCGTGTTTGTCAAACGTGGTGATAATCTTCACTGCGTTTGTCAAAAACGGTGAATGCCAAACATGTGTAGTTTTGAAAAAAAATTATAACTTATGTATTTTGGGAATTTTTTTTAAGAACATGTGTACAGTGAGATTATTTCCGAGAATCACTACTATTCTAAAATTTATATATCACAATATTACTACTACAAACTTAAAAATCACTACTATAATCAAAACTACTAGTAATGAATCTACAGAGAACAATTAATACTCCTAAGAATATCTATCACAAAGAATGATGCTATTAAATTTCTATTAATGAGAGAGAATGTATTGTCAAAAAAAAAAGAGAGAGAGAATGAGGAGAGATACGTGATTGAGAAAGAGAGGGGAATAATTATTGGAGTAAAAATTGAATCCTTAATAAAACCCCTTTATCAAAATTATAAATACAAACAGCTAGGCAATCCCACAAAATCCGCCCATATCATAAAAAAACAGTATTAAATTCATAATTTAATATTTTTTATTCTTGTATTCCGATTATACCCTTGTTAGTATGGTGCTAACCTCCTATTAAGTTAGCACCCTAACTTCTCCCGATAGATGATCATACTTGACCTTTTCAGTGTAGTAGGTATCAAAAGAGTTCGACCATCAGAGGGCAAGCGTTACACAACCTGTGTTTTAATGAGTATGACCTAGACATTACCAGACAGATAATCTAAGGAAAAACAACATAACTTCTGGAGAAAGAAGAGCTCTAGTTTGACTGTAATTTTGGTTCTCTATTCTCTATAAACTAACACCAGACGATACACTGTACAGAAGTTCTTCCAACCCATTCTTCCCCCAGCTAGCAATAGAACAAACACTACTTACATACCGCAGTCTCTTTTTTACATCAGCCTACCAGCATGCATCACCTGGGAGCAATGGTGGGTACAACTCCACTCACGAGATTGCTGCCCGACACATCTGATGACACATACGGATTTTTCAGCGACGAGGAAGCAGAGGAAGTTGTGCTGGCAGCTCCCCTTTTTGGATCTGTACTATCTGTATCTGTAGTAGACATCAACTCTGAAGTTTTGGTCTCAGATTCAGGCAGCAAAGACCACATGCTCTCCAGTTCTCTTACCACGTCAGCCATTGACGGCCTCGAATCTGTCTCGTCTTGGCAGCACTTTAGTGCCAATGTCAAAAACTTCTCCACACTGTCCGAAGGGTATGATCCCATTTTCCCATCAATTACTGAGAATATCATACCGGACTGGTATGCGATGTTAACCTGATATGAACACAATCAAACATGTTGGCTCAATTTTTCTAGTTGGCAAAAATATATATGCAGTATGCTATAGAGGCCGCCAAATGGGTTGGGATTTGGGATTAAATGAGTTCTTCGGTTTATGGTTTGGGCTTAAATGGATTCTTGGGTTCTGGGATACAAACACTCCCTTGAATTTAGAGGTGATCTGGAGGATATCTCGATCATCAGTCCAGGTCTACGAACTGTTGGGTAAAGCTTAGAAGTTAGGGTATTAAATTGTAGATGATAGAGGCAGATTAGTTTGTTAATAGCGAGAACCATGAAACCATACCAAAGACAAGACCTGTAGCAGTAACAATTCAGTAGTAATAGCAGGATATTAACAAAATAGTCACGAAACTGTTACAATATCGCAATAAACATACCAACTTGGTCAATATTGCAAAAAAGCTGATAAAGTACGGTATCGAAAACATTGGTTCATAGCTAAAAAAGGTACCATATAAGATCTAAATTGTGGTCCGGTTTGTAAAACTCTGAAAGTTTAGGCACTAGATTTAAGACTCAAAATATTCAGATACTAGATTGTAGTTACTCAAAATTCGATGTATGTTACGAATTTTTTTAGGCACTAAAATGTAATCCATAAAATATTTAGTGGGTGAGTTTTAGTGGGTGAGTTAGTTTGGGTTGGTACTTTGACACTCTAATGCGAGTAGTATGCACGTCTCCCAACTCAACTACCATCTGCCGTCAATGGAAACACAAATTATGTCTAAATGTGAGATGATGGAGAGATGGCAGGCAAGAAATTAATTACCTCACGAACAATGTTTTTCCCATGTGAGATCGGTTGCATACCGGTCAGCAGTTCTAGAAAGACGACACCAAGGCTGTAGACGTCACTTTTGTCCGTCAACTTATGGGTTAGGAAGTACTCCGGATCCAGGTAACCCTGACATGTTGAAGATATATATAACATGGTCATGACGAAAACAATTCCTGATTGACAAGCTAATTCAACGAGTTGAAGTTGAAGATTTTATTTGCATGGGCAAAATGGTCAGACTTACAGGAGTACCCTTCACAACTGTGGATACATGAGCAGGCACTGCGCCTTCAATATCTGGAACTGGTGCAAGCCTGGAGAGTCCAAAATCTGCAACCTTCGCATTAAATCTGTTGTCCAGTAGTATGTTGCTTGCCTTGATATCTCGGTGGAAAATCGGGGGATCCGCTTCTGTGTGGAGATACAGTATTCCCTTGGCTGAACCTAAAGCAACCCTTACTCGTGTTGCAAAACTCAAGGGTTCCTTAGTCTTGCCTGTGAAAACAATGTATATGAGCCATGTCAAAAGCATATATGAAAATTGCATCCTCTAATCTAAAGATGAAGAAGTACAAGAGAAGAAGAGGTGATCAGGACTCTAGCCAGTTTCTGAGTCACTATATAGAGCAGGAACAACCAAAGAACTACTAGAGACAAGATGGTAGTTGCAGTACATACCTGAGAGATGATCCCTTAAAGTGCCATTCGGCATAAACTCATAAACCAACATCTGCACAAATAGAAATTTCATGATCAGAGAACCACAGGGCATACATACAACCGAAAATAAATTTGTCCTAGAAATAAGAAAGAGTGATTAATATGGCAGTCAAGTTGGTAAAAGAGTGCATAATGACTTGAGGAGTAACTTGGGTAAAACGGTACCTGTTCACCTTCTTCATCACAGTATCCAGTCAGGGACACAAGGTTCCTATGATGAAGCCTTGAGAGTAATTGTATTTCAGTCAAGAACTCCTTTTCCCCTTGTAATGAACCTTCTTGAGCACGCTTGATCGCCACGAGAGTGCCATCAGCCAAAATACCTTTGTAAACTTTTCCATACCCTCCTTGACCAACTAGAGCTGAACTACTAAAATTATTTGTTGCCAAAGCCATTTCGGCATAAGTGAAATCCTTGACGCCCTCAATTCGGATGGAGGCTTTAGATGCTGAGCACATACAGATAACATGTATCAGAAGCATTAATAAGGAAAAGATATTATAAAGTTTCAAACTTAAGAATTTTGAAACTCTAGATAAATCATCAAAGCTTAAACTAGCACCTATCTCAAGTAAGTAGAACAAATTGTATGAGTCGTTTGTAGTTAGAATTATGCATGATCAGATTGAGGAGTACTTATTATTTGGACCAAGGACAAGACACCTTGTTGATTGATATGCATATCATCCATTGTTCCATTTTTTAGCAGTTCATGAACTCTCGAGCTCCTTACTCATTGTATCTGGATATATGGCTAATCAATAACTCAACAGTTTAAGTTGCCAGAGTCTCAGTCAATGCGCTCAACTAGGCTGAGGAAAAACCCTACATTGTTATATCTCCGAAGATGCAACGTGCGTGGTTTACTTATATTCTCTTTGTAAAAGAATCAAGCACATATCCAGAATGACCAACACATGAAAAGGAATGGGAGAAATATTTACTTACGATGGCGCCTCTTTGAAACTATGCGATACTTCCGCAAATGTGATCTGACAATCAGAAGTGTGATAATAGCAGATAACGTCACTGCACCTGCAACCGCCCCCAAGACTATCCCAGCCACAGCACCCTTACCTATCCCAGAACTTTGAGAGCCTCCACCAATCACTGTGCATCATTAGAAGATGAGCAAAAGAATACCAACTAAATCTTAAGTATGACGTTGAATAATTCACTACCAAAGAACAATTGAAGACACAACATGCCTAGCTAAAACAGTGTACGACTGTTATTGAGGTATAATCACCCACAACACTGTTCCAGGAACATTATTTCCCCTCATTATACACACTAATATTTCAAGAAAAAGCTTCATAAGAAAGCAAACATACTACCTTATCCAACAAAACAAGAAATAGAAAACTTGCTACTCCAAAATTCACCACCAACACTGGTGCAGCTGAACATATCAGCTGCATGAACAGGTATAATTAGGTTTTAGAAAAAGTTCTCAGAAAGTAGAAATTACCCTTAAATACAGTAATTTGGTCAGCAAAACCAAAGTAAGGATATGGCTAGAGGATTCAACAAAGTAGACCTCAAGGTCCAAGGATGGCCAGGCTAGGAATCATGACAAATGCAACTGCAGTAAACAAGTCTTCTTTTTTTTTTTTTTTTCATTTCAACAGTAGGGTTTACGAAAACAAACCATTTCTGTAAGGGTCCAGCAGAGTCAGGTAGAGAAGCTCATAAGGTCCAAATATTTCACTATCAGGAATGTTCCATCCAGTGAACATGCTTATGATACGACGAGCCTCGCTACTATTGAAGAGATGAGAGCTGTTGGAGTTGACATCATAGACAGGAAAAATCTTCAAGTGCATTTTGATTCGAGGTCCTTTTTCCCAAGAAAACTCAGCAATGTCTAGCTGGGGAAGTTGCAATTTTAGTCCCTCAGTCAAATACCACTCGAAGTCATCTTTATAAGGCCGAAAATCAAAAAATCCAGGGCTTTTCAGTCGATATCCAATGATTAGAGGGGCTGCACAGAAGCAGGATACAGACGAAGTTGGGGAATATTCAAATGGTGGTGGGCATGCTTGAATGGGGCAGACCAAGTTAGAGCTTGTTGAACTCCCATTCTTCAAATCATCAACAGGAGATTCACAAAACTTGACAAAGGTAGAATTTGAGCAAACAGGGTTCCCTTGAAGCCTGAAAATCATTTAAAACCCACCTGTCAGTTAAGGACTAACCAACTAAGCAGTTTTACTTTCTTGTTTGGTAGATAAATGCATTCTGATCAATGCGCTTAAAGTGTCAAAGGAACCACTCATCAGATAAAGAACGTAGATACCAACCAGAGTGTCACATTTGGAGGTAGAGCAGTACTGCCAGTGATATCTGAGAAGGCATTGTTTTCAAAATCCCTGAGATACAAAAGGTTTGAAGCCATGGTAAGTATAATTTGATGAAACTTTCTAATCCAAACTTCGAGATTGCAACTTCGAGTTTTATGAAGCATGCTCAATAAATAAACAAAAGGATCAAATTGCACATAGAATGGATGAGCTTGTCATGTCGGGTCTTACAAAATAAGTCCTCTGCTTCCACTGTTACTCCTACTCTGCCATATATTAGATGGAATAGAGCCATTAAGGGAGTTGTTTGAAAGTGACCTGCCACACAAAAAAGTCCAAGTTATATATGCATAATGCCTCTTCAATTGATTGAGACCTCGGCACTTTGGTCTTACAACCACTTACAACCTTACATCTTTTAAAATCAACAAAAGCATGGAAGGGGGGTTTTTGGGGAGCTTGCCAGAGACATCAATGCCTCGGAAAGCAATTACTTAACTGAAAAATGGAGCATAGTTTAAGTTGGAAAAAATGCTCACAATATCTGAAGAAGAGGAAGACCTGAAAAGCTTGACGGAACAGTTCCCGTAAGATTGTTGCTGGACAGATCTCTGCAAAAGTTGAGATGAATACCAAAGTTTAGACCTAGCATATAAAGGAATTTAAATCCTGACCGTTCTTCATTCTGTAAGTGTGAAAATGCTCTCTCCCGTATAAAAAAAGATGCACATGATATATTACGTGAGAACTACAAAGAAAGCATACATGGTTGTGATATTATCAGAAAGCTTGTTCGAAGGTATGGTTCCATTCAGCTGGTTTGAACTGAGGTCCCTGAATCACACCAAATACGAGTCATCAAGGAGTGGGAAGGCCTGAATCTATTTGAAGATTAGAGTCCTTTTAAGAAGCCAGCAACGGAACTGTGACTTACAGATATCCAAGGTCCGGTATACTGCTCAGATCAGGTATTGGTCCTTGCAAACTACAATTTCTCAGACTCCTGTCATAAGAGAATAATTTAAGCAATTCTTGAGTTTGTCAGTTTTATGGGAATAATGCTAGTACACTCTACTATAGAAAACGAGATAAAGCTTCTATGATAAATGAAGAGGCTCTGCACATTTATTTGCAATCTTCATACAGACTAGGCCGCCAATGTACATTATGAAAGTAAATTTCACCGAAAAAATAAATTGAGGAGCATAACAGTGCACTACTCGAAGTAAAGCAAACTTAAGGGCCAAGGAATTAAACAAATATCACCCATTAGGGACCAGACATTAACCAAACATATCCAAGCAACTTGATGTCAATCTTAGAAACCCATAAGCGTTTCAAGTAATCACATCACATGTTATAACAAGGAGAACAAAGGCAATGATTGGAATATAATTGTTGTTAGTTCTTATTATCAGGAACCAAGTGGCTTAGTCAACACTCCTATGAGTATTTGTAGATTCATTAGGGCATTCAGTACTTACAACTTCAACAATTTAGTCATGCTGCTGTAAGATGGAGGAATTGAGGTTCCATTGAAATTGTTATTGTCAAGTTGACTGCAGATGGACAAAAAGATAGCTATTAGGTCAGTGCACAAAAATCTCCACAACAGGCAGCAAATTCCCCCAGTAAATGAGAAAGACGTACAGTATAAGCAAGTTCGGCAGTTCAGAAAACTCAGGTGGGAGGTATCCAGATAAGTTGTTGTTGTCTAAAAGGCTGCAAAATATGCCATAACAAAAATGGAGCTGGTAAGATATTGTAGGGCTAAAATGTGGGGGATGGGGGGAGAAGAAATTATTAGCTTATAGTAAGGAGTACAGATCCTACGCATTTCCAGGACAAACATTGCCAACTTACAAGTGAACAAGACTTGGTAATCTGGACAGCTCCGGAGGGATTTGCCCGCTAATTGAATTGTTGTTCATGTGACTGCCAGAAGGAGAACACAGATCATACAACTATCAATTGGAATTTTACAAACTAACGTTTCATGTCAAAGAAATCCTCACAAGTGCTTTGTTTTGTTCAGCAATGCAAACGATTTGGGTAGTGGTCCTGATATATGATTCTGGTCAATCTGTATTCTGTCCAAGTTTGGAAGATAGCCAAGCTCTTCTGGAAGGGAACCTGTCAGTTGGTTTCCATTAAGGAGCCTGGAATAACATACATCACCAGCTTTTACTTGACAAAACAAATAGATGTAGCACAAAAGAGGACATGCAGAAGAGGAAAAGAATGTAAGCATCATAATGTCATTACTATCATATAAGACCTTAACTTTGAATAAAGTTAAAAGAAGGTTAGATATTTCAGGAGTTTCAAATATCTAGCTGGCAGGATAATAGAATTATGCAGCAAAAACATTGACCGTAGAACTAATTTGCTCACAGTAGCTCCAAAGATGTAATGTTTCCTATCTCCTTCGGGATACTTCCAGTTATGTTGTTCCACATAAAGTCCCTTCAAGAGAAGATTGATAGTAGAGCAAGAATCAGTAACATAAAAAAGGAAAAGTATGGAAACATCCATGATTTTGAATAACAAAATACAAGACAATTGTGAAAAGTTGAGCTTTACAAGATCTTCAGATATGAAAATTTCCCAAGTGAGGGTGATAAAGTGCCTGTGAGATTCATGTCCAGCAGTTGCCTGCAAAGAAAGATTAGAGTACAAAAGACCATGAGAATGCTGGTACGCAGCAGGAAAGAAGTATATATATATCAGCAATTCAAGAGTCATGCATTGGAACCAAAGAAGAAAAAGAAATTAATAACAAAGGAAGCATGTGAAACAATACGGTAACTACTAAACAGAGGCTGTATAATATGCTACAAGTCTCTCAAACTATGATGCATCTTTTTGCAGATTGAACACAGTTCAGAATTCTATTATAGCAAATTCGTGACTCAAAAGAGTTAGGGTGGTTAAAAAAAATAAGGAGTTTTCCGAAACAAAAACAGTGCACACGAGGTCAATGGCAAGCCCAAGGTATAAAGAACTACAAAAACATACAATTCTCGGACATGGAGATAGCCATCATCCATTGTTGAATTGAAACACAGAACCCCTGTCCAATTGGATGTGCATGGATCCCCTCTATTCCAATTGCTCAAATTCCTATTGATGTCGATCAAACTTCTGCGGACATCCCGCAACGCGTCGACTGCAGATTAAAGCATATCACAGCCAAAGGTTTTAGTTTAATTGACTTTCTTCAGAAGAAAAGAAAAAAAAAACTGCAAGCAATAACAGTTGACGACATGCCTTCCATTGTGCATGACTCAAGGTAAGCGTTTAGACGTTAAAAAATCGTTGGGAATCAAAAAATTCAATTCCTTGGAACTTCCAATAGCGTGGGTAGTATAAGCAGTAGAAACAGATTGAACCGCAGAAACGACTGAAATGACTCTTGAGCCAAGAACTCAGGCTTACAGAAGAAGCAGCCTGTATATTTCTGAATCTAAAGAAACGGTTGCAGAAAAGGAAGGGAGAAGTTGCCTCCCTCAAGAAAGGGGGAAAAACTAAAGACAACCCATGAACTAAGAAAGCGTAAAGACTGGAGATTCTCACCTTCTAAAGGGTTAGTAATGGACTGCTGCTGTGCTGCAATAAAAGGTGGGAAGGAAGAAGAGAAGCAGAAAAACAACAGAGCTCCGAAGAGAAGAGATGTGGTTCCACAAGGCATGTTCACTGAGAAGTAGCGTGGGTGGGTTGAAAGCAGAGCAGAGGTGGGAGATGAATAACGAACCCGCTTGCAGCCAGTAAACAGCTACTGAACCTTACGAGAATACCAATGCTTCCTGTGGGTACAAAAGACAAGAAGGGTCGGAATCAGAGATGTGTACGCAATTGAAAGATCAAACCCACCATGAAGCTAAAAGACAGAAATAACAAAGGGGAGAAAGAATGAGAGAACGGTGATGTAATTCGCGCCGGCGACCACTTACCCGATGAATTAATTGCTGCTGTTGGGACACAAAAGGTAATCAAAAGGAGGAATTAATTGAAGCAAAATAAATCAAAGGAAGGAAAGAAAGAGTCCAAAAGGGCAGACAGCACAGAAAGAAAAAGAGGAAGGAGGCGTGGTTGTACCAAAACCAAGGGTGGAAATAGTACAAGAGGTGGTAAAATGTTGAGAGGGTAGGTACGAAAATTGAAGGAGGACCAGGTCAGGAAGAATATTAATGAACTAACACCGGCCTCAGCGGGAACTGGGGAAGCATCAGAGAGTACTGAGGAAGACGAAGAAGAGGAAAAAAGGAAATGGCGGAGGTTAGCGATGGTGATGCTGCTGCTGATGGATGGAATAGCCATCGTTTTCATTGAAGTCAACAGAGTGGGATCAAACTTTCGTTTTTTTTATTGGTGAGTAGGATTGGATGGAGGTTGTGGGCAACTGGGCATTCACAATCTATCTATCTATACCCCAATTTTCAAACCAAGGGAAAACGAAATAAATAATTTCTATTTGGCAAAAAGATCGGAAAGTGGAAGGGAAGAAAAAGAGAGACAGACGACGGCCAGGTAAGGTTTCCGAACTTCCGATGGCTTTTGAAGAATATAAAAATGGCGGCGGTGGCAGCGGGGTGGGTTGATCCTCCAACCAAAGAGAGAGAGGACGAGGTAACATTTGACTTGTTCTTTTGATCGGCGGGATGTTGACTTCTGTTTCCTTTTTTCGTAGAAAGGAATAGTAATACGAAGAGTTAATACACACATGGTGCCTGAACTATCACTTGTTTCCTGTTCAAGCCCTTCAACTATATTTTTTCTTATCAAAGTCTCTTGCGTTTCTGATTGTTTGCACTTGAGCCCATGCCGTTACTTGCTGTTAAATATACGTTAAATGCAATCTGAATAGACAAAAGTACCCTCACTAGCTTGGGAAAAAATTAGCTTAGTTTTAATTTAGCCAGTCAGTGACCACAAGAAACAAGTAATCCATCATTTTAGCTACACCATCATGGCCAAAATCACCGATGACTACCCTCATTTTGTCGTTTTCTTCTACTCAATGTCGGCGACGGGCGGTGTTCCCACTCTCATATCTGAACTCGTAGACGAGTCCTGTCACTCTGGACCGTTCTTTATTCCCTCTAAATGTTGCCCTTCCTATAGCCCACTTATTGTCGTCGTTCATTGCTTCACCTGGACTGAGAAGAAAACAACTTCCTTAACTGTACTCAAAAAGGGGGAAAGGGTAACTGATTCGGGCCTAATTGTACATATTTTACCCCGTTTTTCTTATGCGTTTGTGGCAGTTGTGCTCCTAAAAGGGTGGTTTTATGCGAGGTTTCTTGTGTTTTAGCATGTTTCAGGATTTAACAGGTGAAACCAACCCCGGAGTCGAAAGTTGGACGAAAATGAGCGAAAACTAGGAGAAGAGGTGAAAAATCGGCAGTTCACAGTTTCGCTTGGAAGTTCACGGTCTTCTAAGACCGTGAAGAGGAGCTGTTGCCAGTGAACATCAAGGCGTCCAGGGCAAAATCTGAAGTTACTGACTTTAGGCGAGTTCACAGTCTCTAAGACCGTGAATTGGAGCTGTTGCCCGTGAACCTGTGCAAGCAAAGCTGTGCGTTTTGATGCCAACCTTGAGTTCACGGGCGCGTTCAAGAGTTTACGGCCGTGAGCTGAGCCCGGTCCCTGTTTAAAAGGAGAGCTGAAAGGAAGAGAGAGGGGAGCCAAGAGTGAGAAAGTGCCTTCTTCACATTTTAGAGAGAGAAAGAACGAACCAATGAAGGAAGAAGGCTAGGGTTTGCTCCAAGTGGTGAATTGGGAAGATTCTCCCCAAGAGAAGTTCAGCACAAGCTCAAAGGAGATTGGAAGCATCGCTTGGGTGTTGTGAAACCCTAACTATTTGCCATGTAGTTGTTATGTGAATTGAATGATTGTTTATGGGTGTTGTTTAATTCAATGATATTTAAACATACTTGCCTTGTATTGCACCCGACTAGGGTTTATACTTGGACCTTAGGCGGGAATTAATTGTGATATTAGGGACGAGTCAAGTTTTTGGCGTCGTTGCCAGGGACAACGGTTTGTTATCTTAGAAAAGTTGTTTATTGTTAATCTAGCTTTTAATTTCTAGTTTTGAAATTGTGTGTGCTTTGCTTGTGTTAGACTTGGTGTTGTTTTCTGATTGTGAGTAGGAGGTGCAGGACCCGGAGTAATCCAACACCTTTGATACCACGTGACGAGGACATAAACCAAACTCTCCAACTCCTAGCACGGGAGAGAGAGCTAGCGGAGGCAAGGAGAAAAGGTGAAGAAAGGGGACAACATTTGTGTCCCGGTGCTAGTAGAGAAGAAGTCGAAGAAGTGGAAGTTGAACCCATCGTGGGAGTAGAAATGGCAGGGAACCAAAGATAAGAGGGAGCCGCCCAAGCCCGTAACCTAAACGATGCGGCGGTGGAAGAGGAAGCCCCGAGGACAATGGGATACTATATGGCCCCACTACCGGCGGACATTCAATCGCCAATCCTACACCCTCATGTGGAGGGAAACAATTTCCACGGTCTTCAGAGCGATTCACCAAGAGATCACGTGCATAGATTCTTGGAGCTCGCGGGGAGCTTGAAAATTAGTGGTATGTCGGCTAAAACTTTGCAACTAAGGCTTTTCCCCTATTCACTTACGGGAAAAGCACTCCGCTGGCTAAACAATCGCCCACCTCGGTCAATCACCTCATGGGACGATCTTCTCAACAAATTCATTTCTCGCTACGACCAACCTTCTAAGACGACGGGGTGGAGAAAGAAGATTACCCATTTTGAGCAAGAAGAGGACGAGACCTTGAGGGATGCTTGGGAGAGGTACTCCGATTATTTTCTTCAGTGCCCTCACTACGGGTTCGAAGAACAGTTTCGGATTGAAACCTTCTATGGTGGTCTAATCCAAGAAGATAAAATTCTCATTGACTCTCTATGTCAAGGGAAATTGATGAATATGACTCCGCCCCAAGTAATTGAACTACTTGAAGACATGGCCCTCAAGGGATACGATTGGGGATTGACTAGAAGTTAGGGATGGAAACAAAACCCAAACCCACGGATCCCCACCGGACCCAATCCGGTCAATGCGGGTAAAACCCGTGTTAATGGATTTTGGGTCGGATTCGGATTTAAACCCGCTACACTATTCACCGGGTTGGTTTGGGTTTGGGTTTAGCTAAACCCGCCCCATGGTTACCCGCCCACACCCATAATTTTTCCGGATTATTTAATATTCTAAGCAATACATCTTCTTCAAACAACTAATCTTCTTTATGTTTGTGGAGACATGTCTAATTTATTCTTACTAATTGTGTACAATGAAGTTGATATTATGTAGTGGAGTGTGAAGAAGCTTAGTTGACAAGGAGGAAGGAGCTTTCAATTAATCATGTTGTTTATAGATGTTTATCTTTAATTTTGAACGATTTGTATTGATAATTTGAGGTTTGCTTGTATGCTCTAGATTAGTATTTTTGGTATGGATAATTTTTATGAGAAAATTGATGTTAGACTTTTGTTTTGAAAGAAACTTGTTATTGTAAATTTTTTACCACACAAATCCACGGGTAGTAGTCGGGTACCCTCCCGCGGATTGGGTTGGGTTTGAGTTTTTCAAACCCAATGGGTTTTACCCCGGGTTTTTTTTTTGCGGATAAACCCATGGGTTTGGGTTTGGCAAAACCCGACCCAACCCGACCCATTGCCATCCCTACTAGAAGTGGGAGGAGAAGCAATGATAAGGGAGTGAGAAGCATGGGAGCGAGCGCTCCGCTTGAGGCGAAGTTGGATAAGTTGATAGAGGCAATTCTTGAAGATAAGAGGCCAGGAAAAAGACCGGTGATGTCGTGCGACTGGTACTCGAGTACTAGCCATGAGATGGCGGAGTTCCAGGCAATGAAGGAGGCAAACACTCCGGAGGAACAAGTCAACTTCGTGGCAAATGCTAGGGCTAATAACCCGTATAGCAATACTTATAATCCCGGATGGAGGAACCACCCCAAATTTTCTTGGTCATCACCGACTAATCCGAGAGGGCCCTCGGGTTTTCAATGCCCAACGAGTAATTACCAACCTCAGCCAACCTTCATCCAACGAAGGTCTCAAGTCCAAAGCTCAAGCTTCCAACAACTATACCAACCACAAGGTGGCCTAGGGTTTCAACAACAACAACAACCCGACAAGTTATCTAAGCTTGAAGACCTAGTGAACATCTTTGTGAGCACGAGTGCCCAAAAGTTTGAGAAAATTGAGCAATTTATGGATGTGGCGAATACCAAGTTTACCTCGGTTGAGGCGGAACTCCAAAGCCATCAAGCGAGACTTCAAAGTTTGGAGGTGCAAATCGGCAATCTTGCCGGCATCTTAACCGAGAAACCAAAGAAAGCCCTACCTTCCCAAACCGTGGCGAACCCCAGGGATCATGCCGAGGTGAATGCAATTCAAGTGGGAAGTGGAAAGGAGACTCCGGGAGTCGCCGCTGAAGAAGTGATTGAGAAGGAAGATCTCGACCCGAAGGATGGAGAGAAAAATCCATCGAGGAGAGAAAGGAAAGCGGTTGTAACACCCCGATAATTTGGATTTAGATTCGACCTTAATACGTGATCGGTTGGATTGACGGTTAAGTACTAAGAGTTACAACCGGGGATTAGGAATAATAATAATAACTATTATTATTATTACAATAAAAAAATTA